GTAATGCTGTTTTTCCCTTTCTTTCCAAATCGCACAGAAACTTCAAATTAATCTTTCCACATTCGGCCACTTTACCATCTAAACCACAAAACAAGCAATATACTTCCTAACCAACACATACACCACAAGCTCCTAGGAATTTGACGCATACACATACACACAGGCTCTTAGGAATTTGACGCAATCATTCAGCCGATTATATCATAATAGGGTTTCCATATCATTCAACTACTCAGGCTACCATAAATGAAATAACAACTTGGCAATAAATGAAACAACAACTTGGCGATAAATAAAACAAAACCTTAACGATAATACAAGGGGTACCCTTCTCTCTACTCTAACCATTCTCTGATATTTTTTTTTAATGAAATCAGATCATGGTGCACATGGGGAGAATGAAACTGTTGTTTCCCCATGCACAGAGCAATCAGTTTTCTCGCTTTGAAAACAACAAAGAATTCCACAAATTCAGCACCACACACAGCTTTGGCACTGTGCACATTAAACACTGTATATATTATTATCAATCAGAGTTTCATAATGTGATATGAATACATTAGCACATCTCACACACATTCGGTGACTGGCGCCCTGTTAATAGAAAAGTACTGATTTTATTATATATTTCAGCCTTGTGAAGCAATAGGGCTTAGAGTAGATTGAAAGGTGTCCATTGGATTATCGCTAAGTTGTTGTTTCATTTATCATCAAGTTGTTGTTTCATACATGGCCAAATTGTTATTTCATTTACGGTAACCTCAGTAGTTGAATGCTATGGAAACTCTATTATGACATAATTGGTTGCGTAATTGCGGTGAATTTGAACGATGGGACGGATTTTGGGTAAAACGTACATTATTATTTTGTGCTTTACATGGTAAAATGGCCGAATTTTGTAAGATTAATTTGAAGTTTCTGTACAATTTAGAACAAAAAGGAAAAAAGCATTAATTGACTGGTTTGTAAATGAAGGTTTACTTAGTTGCCATTATAAGTGTCCTGTTTGTAGAAAGGAAATGCGTATGGTGAAACATCGGAGGATACCTGCACTACGGAGGATATTCTTGACTTATTTTTGTGAAGGAATTTTGTTTGACTGAAGACAGGGAAATCTGTAAATAAGGAAAGTGGATATTTCCTTTGTGTAGTGCTAAGATGAATTTCCTTTTTTATGTTATTTCCTTCTTTGAATTGGTATTATGTATTTTTTGTTGGCTGCTCCTTTGATTTTTGTAACTGAATATAGATCGATGTGTACATGGACAAAGTCAAGGGAGTGTGCAATGACTAGTTTGTGCAATTCTCTCATGTTTTTTTAAGTGAAAATAGGTCATTGTGCACATAGATACGGAGTTTATGAAAAAATTCTTTGACTTGTTATTTTGGATTTGTGTAGCAGCAATTTTTGGCAGCTGCTACATAAAGCCAAAATAATTGCACAAACTTGGTGTTCATGTACCGCCAAAAATCGCCAATTATCGACAAGGGGCACCCGTAAATATATTTTTAAAGCAATAGGTTGTTAATGCAAATTTTTTTGGCGAACCAGCAGCTGAGCAGTAAAAGGCTACTGAACACTGGTAGTTCAGTCCAGAGCTTGAGTCCTGGCAAACAGGCTAGCTGCAAGAGTGCTTTCGTGGTTTTCCCAATGTGTAATGTGTGACAGTCTTCCTTAAAAAATCCTACACTGAGCATCCCTCCGTGTGGCACAGCACATAATTAATTTTTTTTTAAAAAAAATATAAATTATTTGTAAACTCTTATGCAGAAATTTTATTCTTTTTGCTTTAGCAATCTAATTCTATTTTTCAAATTTTGTAATTCATAACACAGAATAAATTCTATAATCAAAATGATACAGAATAAATTCTCAAAATGATTAAATAGCTATAAAAATTAACCAAATACTATCAGCAAAAAGATTATTAAAAGTCACAACCAAATGAAAGAAAGACAGAAAAAAAATAACTATGCTTCCAAATGCGTAAAACATTAAATCAGAAATAACAACCTTTAGTAAAAAATACAGAAAATACACTGAATAAAAATGTTATAAAAATGGGTCATTATATGGTTGACTTATTACATCACAAGAGCATTGTTTCTATTGCAAATCTATGAATATATACCATGGCATTCCTACAATAATCTTTAGCTGTAACACAGTCTGACCAAAAAAACTGGCATTAACATTAACATTTATACAGTAAAAGTCGTTAATTCGGACACCCGTAATCCGGAATGATCTATAATCCGGACCTCAAAGCTAAAAACTTTCTGCGCTTGCGCCGCGTTGACACATACGCATAGGCGTTTACGCGTGCGCGTAAGACCTTTACGACTGCGCATATGCGTGTGCGCAAGTGCAGAATACGTTTTCGTGTGCGCGTTTAATGTATAACGGACGGTATAAGCTAAAATTATCTAATTATCTATTTCAGTTAATGTTGATGATTGCGTTGTTCCTTAATCTTCGAACTGGATCCGGCTTATTACTTTTTTCAGACTGTAAGAGCAATTTTATAAAAGTAAACTTGAACTTTCGATTATGTCAAATAGAATTTCCGATGCTGGAGCTCCCAAAGGATCTACAAAACGAAGTATGTTTCGATGTCCATCATACAAAGTGGAATTGCTGCAAAAAATGGATAAAGACATGAAGAAGGTGACAGAGAGGTTAGTGAAAACGAAAAAATTTCGATTGACAAGTTAGTCGGTATTCTCGGCACAGCAATTACGGGACTTGAACAGCGGAACTTTGTAAGTGAACAAGAAATTATGTCTGTTTATAGAATTAAAGAGAAAGTATTATCACATAAAACGAAGCAACTTAAACAACTTACCTTGAAAGAAATGTTTAATAAAGTAAACAAATAAATATTACGCTTTTTTTTTTTTTTTGTAAATTTTGATACCCTTTAGATCATAATTGTTCTTTATTTCATAAATTACGGTTTCATATTTTTAATTAAGAATTTCTGCATGCCATCTTACGAGATTTAAACTGATGATCTATAATCCGGAAAAATCGATAATCCAGAATCGCGGAAGTCCCGACGAGTCCGGATTAACGACTTTTGACTGTATTTACAAGCAATTAAAACAAAAATAAGAAACAGTAAAATAAATATCTCCAGGTGGAATATTTCACAAAGTTAAAAAAGTAAAATAAATACCTCAAGGTGGAATACTTCACAAAGTTAAAAAATGTAACTACGATAAGCTAAGAGAAAAATGACCATTGAACTATTCAGAATACGATGAATTTTTTTTCTGGTACATTGACCTTCCTACCTTTAAATTTGATGACATCAAAATACACAATGATGAAGATGGAAGAAATTCCATCTTCATCATTGCAAATATAATTCATCTTTGTCTAGCAAATATAATTAATTATCTTTGTCTAAAAAATCTAATAATACTTATGCCATCTAATTCGCTAGAGAAATGTAAGAGTTAATCACTACTGGAAGTGCATTTTGCCATTACTTTTCTTCTAGTTAATAAAAATGAGCAAAATTCTAAAGTCCTTTAAACATTTCATAAAAGTAATAAACTCTTTCCATAAAATACTAAACATGTTGCATTACAACAATGCCAAAAAAATAACAAGAACAGTAAATTAAATAACTCAAGTTGAAATATTTCACAAAGTTAAAAAAATGAAACTGCAGAACACTGTGATTATTAAAACAATTCAGACTTGCTAATGGTCATGACAGCTCTATTAATAAACAGGCAGACTGAACAAAAGCAAAGCCATTATCATGATTTCTCCAAAACACAGTTGTAAAGTGAACTGTTTTAATTTTTGGGGGGGGGGGCGGGTATCTAATTTCTCTGTGTTATTTATGTCGCTAGCTGTTCACTTAATCTACATAAACTTCAACTAGAATTGCACTCTTCCCACTTTATATTGTAATTTATTAATTATTTTAATTTTTGAATCACTGTTTACATGATTTTCTTTCCTTTTAACAAGAGAACACAATTTACTTCTATGAGCATGTAATTATAAGATTCCTTTGAAATGAAATAAAGCTTTGTTATGAAACTAGTACTGATCTACCTCTGAATTCTGCTAATTTTAACAGTAATTTGTTTCCAGATACTCAAAAAAAAAAAAAAAACCTCTATGTTAACATTTGCAGGTGAAAAAGCAGAATCCCCCACTACTTGGCGCGTTTTTAAGAATTGCACATATGCGGTATCCATGTACACGTCAACCTATTGTCATTTAAAAAAACATACCAGAATTGCACAAAAATGGCACTGTGCACACTCTTGACTTTATCCATGCACACATCGACCTATTTTCTTTTAAAAAGTCAAAGATAATTGACAAAAATCCAATTCTTCTTACTCTTGTAAAAAGCGCCAAACAAATAAGTGGGGGATTCCGCACTTTAGCCCATTTGCAAATATCGGCTGTAGAGCAAAAGATTTGAAAATTTGGCCACATTTCTTAATTCAACACAGAAGTATTCAAAATATGATACTTATCACTATAGAGTTTGTATTTTCTGGCACAAAATAAAGCTGCAAGTACTTGAAAAGGAAATAACGCATGCCACAAAACCCTTGCAAACAGAAAAGCTCATAATTTTTGTAATAATGAAACCTGTGAAAAGCACACCCAACCATACACAGCCACGAATTAAATAAAGAGTAGCGTTTAATATTTAGACAATATTTCTATGTCAAACAGATCATCAGTGACACATAATACGTTCGAAATAAGAATAGTGTTCAATTTTGAAGTTAATTTTTATATTTCTAAACACAAACTTAACATCCATTCCGATCAACATATCCCCCCTAAAATTCTAAAATTTGGCTTCTCTCTTATGCCTCTATCCCAGAACATTAATTTAATTATACTGTTTCATTCTGTGATGATTTATATGTAAAATGTAAAGCCTAATGTTTAATCTTTGTCTGCATTCATTGTAGATCTTTTTCTTATTGATGAAATAATACAGTGGAAAACCAACCTGGACTGGAACAGATATGTCTTCCGTCATGCTTGTAGTTTCCATGTTTTTAAAACAGAATATATATCTTTATATTTAGCTTAGCAAAGAGAAATTTAAGACACAAACACTCAAGGCGATAAACAAATCTACACTATCACAACAAAACAAAAACAAAAAAAAAAAAAAAAAAAACACCAATTCAGTATACATATATGACGTTAGTTCCTAATATTGTTGCCATAAAATCCGAAAAAAAACCCATATTTTCAATTATAAGTGAGTAAAAAATTAAAGAGGACGTTACAATTTAGAGAATTAAAAGCTTCCTTACACTATTCGTATAAGCTATACTAAATTGCATGCACTGAGTTAGATCCTAAACTTCACACTTTTTCCGGTTACTGTATCCGAGGAACTCATCCGAGGTCTGCGTCTGATAATGCAAATTGTCAAATAGCTTTATGTTCCAGTTAATGTTCTTTCTTTTTGGTAAAAATTCGTGCGACATTTATTTATGCACTCCTGCTCAAAAAAATAAATAACAAAGGCAAACCTGGAATCAAACAAAGACTATTCAATGATCCAAAAGGTTGATGTGGCATTGCTAGACCACATAGCAAACAATAAAGCAAAGACATACAAAAACACATATATTAGGACCATCGCATGGAGGAAGCCCAAATGGGTAGGAACAACCAAGGATGTTAGAATAGCCTCCTATTCTAACCTCCTTGGGAACAACAATAAATTCTCGTAACCGCTCTTTAGTCTTTAGCAATCTTGCTTTTAAGCAAGAAGAAAGGAGATAAGGACTTTGGCGAACGCCTTTTCCTCCAGTCCGTGAGGTTGGCTAGTAAACGACCCAACTTCGGAATTTTTAGATTGAATTGTTTACTAATTCTGCAGGAAGGAAGTATTGAATGTCCTCTTAATTGCAGAATTCGGCGATATGTAGTTCATTAGATGATTGTAGTTTTGACGCTCATTCAGTCTGTGCTCAAAATCATCTCGTACTTAGCAATTTACGCGTAAAGGAGAACTTGAAAGTTTTGTCTTGAATTTAAGGTAGTGAGGATACTTTGAGTGAGGATTTTGTTAATTTTACATTTCATTTTCTTTGAGTCGGGCCAATTGATATTAAGGTATTTGGTGTTTAAGAAATTTTTTAAATGACAATAATACTTGGCATTCTACCAGATAGTTTCAAGTTCCCCGTCCTTGTCTTGATTAATTTCTTTTTTGATATCCTGCCATGTAGAAATCGGAAGGATCGTAGTATTGCGTGAATTAACCACCTGTTTTGCCAAAAAATCTGCGCTTTCGTTGATCTCGATGCCTTTGTGACCAGGTATCCAGCAAATTATAATCTTACTATTTGGCATATTTCTTTAATTTCATATCGAATATTCTCAATTATGTTTTTATTTGAATCTTTGAAGGAGGCAATAGATTTTACTGACCCAAGGCTGTCAGTGAAAATTATCGTCGCTTCGGAAAGGTGAGCTAGATACTCCATAGTGTACCAGATTGCTGAAACTTCCGCGTCATAACCGCTCCTGCTTGTGAAAGCAACTGCGGCGTTTCGGAACGATTGCTGCCAGTATGTGGGTTTGAATCCACGCTTCTAGACACTCCCGATTAGGCAGGAGGAGGCACGTGCTAACTACCAAAGTGAGCAAAACAAATAGGTTAAAATAGGGATGGGCAAACTTTTTCATTCGCGAAGTAAAAATCGAAAAAAAAAAAAAAAAAATTTTTTTGGCGGGCCAAGATAAACTTTTCTAAAATTTAAAAAAAAATATTCAAGTATTGCAATTTAAATATGTTAATGAGATGAATGAAATTACGATTTCATTTTTAAAATTTCCTTAGATTCAGGTTCGAAGGGAGGTGTACTGATTCTAAGGAACGAGGCTAAATGCTCATCTGTCAGTCTACTTCCGAAATAATTCTTTCTAAGGTTCATTGTTGAAACCACTTGTTCACACATGCAAAATGAAGCAAGCATAGAACTGATTTTCTGGGCGTGAGATATTAAATTTGGGAAACTTACTTTCGATGATGATTTGTAAAACTCTAACTTTGGCATATTTAGAAACAACTGCTTGAGATGACTGTTAAATTGCAACTCAATTAATTCAAGTTGCAAATCTAACCTCACTGCTTCACAATTTACATTGAAAGGAAAGGTAAAAATATCCAATTCTGTTTGAATGGCACTGAAATCTGGAAATCTGCGTTCGAACTCAAAATGCAGTTTTTTTCAAGCCATCTTCATAATTCTTAAGCTTCTCTTCATTTACTGAGGACTGATTCATTACTGAAGTATTGAATTTAACATCGGGAAGTGAGATAAGTCGTTCTTAGCTAGCTGCCCAGCAAACAGATTAAGATTTAGTTTTAAAGCTTTGAAATGGGCCCAGATATAGTCAATAAATTGATTTTTTTCCTTGCATCTTGACATTCAAGTATCATTTATATCAATGCTTTCATCCATAGCTACGGAGCAAAATTTAAATTGATTAGTCTTTGAACTCTAGTTGTGATGTCAAATTTTTTATTGATGTCTTCGATTCTAGAAGTCACCGTTTTTCGAGATAAGCTTACAGTCTCAAAATTATTTTTCTTGTCTGGACATAAAACATCACTAACTCGGAGCATGCATTGTGTTTAACGAACTCCCCATCACTGAGAGCTTTATTACTTTTAGCAATATTGTATGCTACAATATAGCATGCATATGTAGCTGCTTCTTGGATGCTGCTTACCTTCTTGAAAAAATTTTGTCGGCCTGATAATTTTCTACAAAGACTTTCTGCATTTTGTTTTCTTTCATATTCGGACATTGTTTCGTAATTAGAGTTCTTATGTTTAGATGTGAAATGACGGGAAATGTTATATTCTTTGAAGACTGCTACAGCTTCATTGCATATGAGACACACTGGTTTATATTTTACAACTGTAAAAAAATATTTCCAGGTTCATTCATCATTAAAAGCACGACATTCTGAATCAACTTTACGTTTTTTAGTAGTAAATTTGGAATTGAAATATTTTACGATCCAAAACAAGCAGTAGCTACGCTACATTTTTAATAATTTCATCAATATTCACAATGATGGTATACGTCCGCAATCTCTCCATACGCAATGAATAATATTAGAACTCGCGCCAAAAGAAAAAGCCGCTGGCTGGAGCTTAAACTGCGCAGTCTGCCGCATGTGAGGTCTAATTCACCCATATGTCTGCGCCCCGAGAAAGAGATAACGCTTGTTGGCGCCGATCTACGGCTATAACTAACAAAGAACTTCCGCTTTTAACACTTTACCGATTGAAAGCTGTTTGTGCTTGCCATTTCCGTCGATTTATGTTTGTAGAACAAAAATAAGGAAAGTAAAAAGATCATCAGTTGTTTGAAGAAAAGGAAGAATTAAAATAATATTTAAACAAAGTAGAAAAGGAGATGGATATATAATATGTAAATATATAATTTCTTTAATTTTCCTCGGACCGGCAAACCGAAATTTTATCCGCGGGCCAGATAGAACCTTCCCGCGGGCCTTAATTTGCCCATCCCTGGGTTAAAACAAGGCAGAGCACGTCAGCTGAGAAAGCGGGCCTAAGAAAAAGCCAAACGGCTAAAATAGGAGGGGCTGCCTTTCGGTTAAAAAGGGAAGAAACAAAAAACTAAAAACTGGTCTAAGAAAAGGAGAGCCTTCAAAGCTAAAAACGAAGGCGGAATGAAGTAAAGCTTATCGACAAAAAGAGGCTAAACGGCGAAAGGGAAAGAGAAAGCTTTGAAAACTTGAGGTATGTGCCTACCCTAAAATCGTCGTTTTGGTGAAAATTTTCGAATTTTTGTATTTATTCATTTTATAGGCCACACGTTTAGGTTTCCAAAAATGCTTTATTTTTGTTTTTACGAGAACTAGAAGCAAAGTTATAGTATAAATAATAAACCGGAAGTGAAGTTTCGGATGCCAGAAGTTGGCATTTAAAGGGACGTAAAAATGTAAACAATAAGTTTAAACAGCTGTTTTCTAATTATTAAACAATCTGAAAGCTGTAAAAGCAACATATCTTTCACTGTGTGACAAAACGTTGCTGATAAAATGCCTATATGTGAAGACTCAGAACATTAATGAGTGTTTTAATAACCTTTTGTGGACTATTTTACCTAAAGAAACTTTTGCCCAACTGAAAACATTGCTTTTAGGTGCAATTGCTGTATTATTACTTAATTCATGATATTTAGGACTTTTACCTGTTCTCAAGTATCTAGAAATTAACCCCATAATGTTTGAAAGTTACATATGAATAGACAAACAGCGAATTCAGAAATCGAAACGCCAATCTCTACAAGCAACAAAATTATCCAGAAGAAAGCTAAAAGCTAAAAGAAAGTCAAAATTAGTTAAAAATGAAGCAAAAGAGGGCCTAACATACTAATATGGCTAGTTTTAAAGGAGTAAAATTGCTACAAAATTTTTTATGCTGTATTAAAATCTTCAAACGCATTTTCTGAGAAACTGTGTTTTCCATTACTTTTGATTGCGATTACGTTTATTTCTCAAAATGCATTTAGAAAACTGAAAAGAAATTATGCCAAAATGCTTCATTCATCTTTAGCTGTGTTTTGCAGGAAAATATGACCTCTTTGTATTTCTTTATTGATTTTATTGACAGCATTTTGAAGAAACGAGTTTTTTGTTTTGAGTTTTTACATCAAGTTTGGAATATTTAAAAAAATTTTATACGGACAGCAATTTTTTGCTACAGAATACAGGTAAGTATGCTGTTTATGTACTGTGTAAAGATTATTGAAGTATATTCATTAGAATCTATTATAGGAGATGTGGAAAATTTGGAATGGAAAATTTCACTAACATTTTTCTAAATATAGCCTATATTAAAAAAATAATGAAAATTTCTGTAAAATCCCATTTAAATTCATAGTTTTATATCCCATCTTACTCAAAAACATGTGTGTTTGATTAAAATTTTATGTATTTTAAAAAAAGTGTTTCGTATGCAGGCACATACCTTAACCCTTTGCGGCATGGTGTTCCGGTCTGGGCACACCTAAAAATTTCCTTCTGTGCGCACAGAAAAATTGAATGAGAAAGGATTTGAAGATTACTATAGGTTACTCTGAACCTTCTTCAT